TCATTCAACACCAGCAGGATGCACAATCTTTTCAGATACACCACGACAATTCAAGTGCCATATCATGTGTTCAGCAGTTTTTCTACACATATACAACCTTTTGAGTCTAGGTGTAAGTGGGAGATACCACAATGACTTCCTTGGTATATGTTGATTTTGTTGCACATGTCCCTGTTTATACCGAGGTTCACCACATATTGGACATGCGATGTAGTTTTTGTTTTCAAATTCACCATAATACAAGAAGCAGTTATTCACACACACATCATACTTCTTATAACCCAGACTGAAACGCCTCATCATCTTTTTAGCACTGTAAAAATCTTTTGGAATTCTATCCCAATCCTCTGGCTTCATCCATCTCCTAGTACACTTTAACATATAATCCCAATTACCGACACTCATATTGTAAAGTGTCTTTGCATTTATAAAATGAGACATCTATTTTAGTAGTGTATCACCATCATCACATCCATCATAAAGTGGCGTGTTAGTAGCTTGTAAAAGATCAAAAAATTCCTTTGCATCACCCATTGCCTCCTCAAAGATTGGCTCCGCACTGGCTTGTTCATTCATATTATATTCTATACCATGTAGATTTGCATCCATAACCATATCTCTAATTGGATCATTACTTTGTTCTTCCATCACAAAGGGAGCTGCACTAGAGGATTCCCCCCACTGATGACGTTGTCGCCTTCGCATTGGCTGCTCTCCGTGTGCAAGCCAAACTATATACCCGTTCATAAAACCCTTTTTTGTCAAATGACAGTGCACAGTCACACGACGATGCCATTCTTGGTTCATACATTTACTGCAGGGACACTTAATCCGATTTCTACTACATAACTCTGAATTGGACTGGGAAAATGCATAATCCAGGAATGACTCCACACCAATTTTGAATTCATCAGTATAACAGCCATTATCATCTAAACGATGATACATCCAACCTCGATCTCCCATCATGCGAAATATTTCCTTAAATTTATATTAAAAAATTCATCTCCGCACACAATAAATAATACATCTCTTTTAATAATAATAAGTTACATATCAAGCAATTAAATAAAATAATCAATATTTATCAATCAAGTAAATAATGAAATCAAAATTTTATGATGAAGTAATTAATTAAATTAATCATAGTTTAGGGGAGTATAAATATGTAGTTATGATATATTAATGAATCAATTATAAGCATTGTAATACACAATAATTTAGTAATCAAACAATTATAGTTACTGAAAGAAATTTTAATAAATAGTATCAAGAAAGCATTTTTGAATCAATTAAAGCATATAATTATAAGTTATTAACCAATCGAGTAATCACTATAATCATAATTTACCAATCAATTACTTAATATCTTCATAATTTACAAATCAATTAAATAGTATAATCATAATTATTGTAATCAAGTAATTGAATGAATTAATTATAGTTTACTAATTAATTAAATTATTGTGTAAATATATGATTTAATAATCAATTAATTAATCAATGTAATTATAAAGTTTTAATCAATTACAAAATTTCATTAAGTATAGTTTAATTATCAATTAAATAAATAATTTAAGTATAATTGACTAATCATTCAATTAAGCACTAACCCATAATTAATCAATCAAGTAATTAATATTAATTAATTATCAATATAATCATAATTTAAAATAAATCAACTAATTTATGTGATCATTATTAATCAATCGAGAAAATAATATAATCAATAATTTATAATCAATAAATTAAAAAAATTAATTAAGTGAATAAATTAATTAAAGTTTACTTAATTACCAATTAAATATGTTATTATGAATACTTATAAATCAAGTAATTATAATCACTATAAATAATTATATTTCTTAATCAACAAACAAATTTTAAATCAATTAAAGCATAAATTATAATTTAGTAATCAATAAACTAATCAATATAATCATAATTTATCAAAAAAAAAATTAATTAAAATCTTCAAAGTTTACAAACCAATTAAATAGTAAAATCATAATTTTATTATCAAGTAACTGAATGAATTAATCATAGTTTACATATCAATTAAATTAGTGTGTAAATATATATAATTTACGTACTAATTAATCAATTTATTTATTTCATTATAAATTTGTAATCAATTAAACAATACTAATTATGTGTAATTTAATTATCAATTAAAGAAAATAATCATAATTGACTAAACAATCACTTAATCAGTATAATGATAATTAATACATTTGTAATTAGTTACTATAACTATTTTAATCAA